AGCCACTGGGGGTCAGTCTGGTGTTTGGGAGAGGCACAGAAAGAGGCTGATCCTGGTGGGTGATGGGGAGGGTGGGGGTGTGATGAGAGGTGCACCAGCCAGCCAGCCTCGCAGGCTGGTACACTAGGCATGGAGGGTGGGCCCTGCAGGCTGGTACGCTAGGCACGGAGGGTGGGCCCTGCGGGCTGGTACGCTAGGCACGGAGGGTGGACCCTGCGGGCTGGTACGCTAGGCACGGAGGGTGGGCCCTGCGGGCTGGTACGCTAGGCACGGAGGGTGGGCCCTGCGGGCTGGTACGCTAGGCACGGAGGGTGGGCCCTGTGGGCTGGTACGCTAGGCACGGAGGGTGGGCCCTGCGGGCTGGTATGCCAGAGCATGGAGGGTGGGCTTAGCTGCATGTGCAACAGGAAGCTGCTGCAAGGTTTAAGCAGAAGAGTGGCCTGTACTGATTTGTGCTATATAAGATCCTTCTGCCTGGCTCTTGTCCAGGGAAATGGAATCCAGCTCCGGGCTCTGTGTCCCTGGCACACTGCTCACCTGCACACATACACGCGGACAGAAAAGCCTCCGCCAGGCCAGGTCTTCCAGCAGGAGGCGAGCCGCAGGGGGTGCTCTGGATTCGGCTCTTGTTTTTCAAAATGTGCTGTCGTGCCTTTTTACCTACATAACTTGATTTTCCTTTGTTTGGGGGTGGTGGTGACACAAGAGCAGGAATCTTTTAAAGAACAAATTGCAGACGGAAACAGGTGGTGCTGACACTAGAAACCCTGGGTTTGAGCAGCCAAATTGGAAAATGGGGCCACTTGACAGAGCTTTGGTTGTTTTTAGCTTCCTTAACAACCATGGAGTGGAATGAAAACCTGGGACGTTCCAGGCAAGTTCTGCTTGGAGGAAATGTGACATTAATTTTACTCAATTATCATTCGAAACAGACAGCAAGCCTCTCTCTGGTGACCAGAGACACTGGCAAGGTGTTAGAGCACTCCTTGGTTCTCATACCGGGCAGCCGTCAGCGGGAAACTGCTGGGGGCTTGTTAAATGCAGATGGCCGGGTCCACCTGCAGGGTCTCTGATTCAGTGGGTCTGAGCTGGGCTCCAGAATGTCCATTTCCAACAAGTGCCCAAGCGATATTGGTGCTGCTGCTTCAGGGACCCCTCTGAGTGGCACTGTGCTAGAGAACATCGCCCCCTGCTGTGTGGGGGTCTGAATGGCACTGTATGTGCTGCGCGAGTGTCATCTGCAGTCCTGGTCTGTCCTGGGGAGGCCTTGAGTCACGTAGGTAGGTGGTGCTTCTGTGAAAACCCTGCTTGGTGTTGTGAACAGCTCCTCCCCATGTGCCCCCATCCCTGCTCCTTCTCTGGTTCCTCTCTACCCCTCTCTGACCGTGTCCCCAGGTCACCCAGCCAGGACAGCCACAGTGTGCTGCTGATAGAGCGTCCACTCAGCTTGACCCCTAGGCTGCCAAGGAAATGTGACAAAGTAGCTAGGGATCTGAACATTTGCCAGGACACAGCCAGAGCTGGATGCCGGAGACAGAATTTCCAGACAGTTGGCTGTGCTGTCCCCTGCCCAGCCAGGTGTCTCCCTAAGCATCAGATGGCTGCCACCTCGAGACTTCTCCTGAGTGTGAATTTCCATGGGAAAAAAAGGTGGGGAGACTTTGCTACATGTCTTTGAGGCCTGCGGCTTTGTGTTTTATGGCTGTCGTCGGATTTTCATCTGGCTGGCCTGGCTTGGCGCTGGGCCTTGAGGGAGGTCCTGTATGTCTGCCCTGCCTTGCTCCCTGTGGAGCTTTCTGGGAGCATGGTACAGCTCACATCAGGTGACAAGGCACTGTAGCCATGGTCAGGCTGCCATACCTGCTTTCCCAGTTACACATCAGGGTCCATGCCTTCCTACAAGCTTACCAGAGAACGTTGTTGAGAGCATGAAGCTTTTTTTGTGTGTTAATTTTAAAATTTTTATTTTGGTAACATACGCAAAACAAAATTTACCATCTTAGTCATTTATAAGTGTATGTTTCAGTATCGTTAAGTATATTCACGTTGTTGTGCCATCAATCTTTAGAACTTTGTCATCTTGCAAAACTAAAACTATACACATTAAACAACTCCCAATCTTCCCCTCCTTCCTAGCCCCTGGAGCATGAAGCTTCTGCTCCCCCTCCATCTCACGTCTTTTTTTGTGCATTTGCTCCAAGGGAAATGACTGAGCCTTTGGGGTAGTGGTGTTTGAAATGCGTGAAAGTGTCATCAGCCCAGTGAGGAGAAAATGGGAGATTCTGGCAGGGGAGTTTTTTCCTGTACTTTTGTTCATCCTGAAACTTGCATCATTCCATGCAGCTTCTTTATGCTTCTTTGATGTGGCATGTCAGAATGCCACTGAGAATTGCTTAACTATGTTACTTCTTTAAAGCTACAATATTTTTTAATGTCTTTGGCTGGTGTCAACATTACAGGCAATGTGTAGGTTGCACCATGAAACCCTGTGCGACTTGAATTTTCTCCCTCCCAACTTCAAGTTTTCGTTCTTCCTAATTCTCATGTTTTGAATTGAGGTTTTCCAGTTTGGGCCCAATCCTAATGCTGAATATTTCTGGAAAAATTTGAATTATAGCCATTGGGTGGTTCTCAAAATATCAAAACAAGGAAAAAATTATGTGCTTTCCCCTTTTTCACCCAGGTTTGGGGATAGATAATTAAGACATGACTTCAGAATTGGCCTATGGATGGTCTAGTGTTAAAAAAACAAAAAACAAGACTGCTGTTTTGTTCTTGAGGGAAAAAATTGGGGGAAGAAAAAGTGAGAACAGAACAACTGAATGTGTTCCGGTTTTCCTCGTGGGAAAGAATATTCCATTACATAAAGATTTTGTTTTGCTTTAATAATGGTTTTTAAAGAGTGAAATGCAAGCAATGACACAGTTAATTCCTTTGTCGCACAGGTGCTTACACACTGTGCGTGCCTGGCTTCTGATGCTTGTGTGCCAGACACGGTGTCCAGCTTCACGTGGCCTGAATTAACCGTGGCTGTGCCCTCTGCTGTGGTTGTTGCTTTATGTTGCTGCTGGTGTACGGGTGAACACAGCACCAACTGGGAAAAGTTTTAATGTTCCCACTGGAAAATCCTCCCTCTAGATTATATCTATCAGAAAAAAACAAGTAGAATATTCAAAACCAAGTGAAATAAGTCAGACAGAGAAAAATAGATACTGTATCATCTCATTTATGTGTGGCATCTAAAAAACAGAACTCATGGATACAGAGAACAGACTGGTGGTTACCAGAGGCGGGAAGTAGGGAAATGAGTGAAAGTGGGGGTCGGTCAAAAGGTATAAACTTCCAGTTATAAGATAAGTCCTGGAGATGTAATGTATAGCATGATGACTATAGTTAGCAATACTGTATCATATATTTGAAAGTTAAGAGAGTAGATCTGAAAAGTTCTTATCACAAGAAAAAGAACTGCAACTATGTGAGGATGTGAACTAGACCTATTGTGGTAAACATTTTGGGATCTATCTGTCTCAAAACATCATGTTGTACACCTCAAACTAACACAATGTTATATGTCAGTTATATCTCAATAAAACTGGAAAAAACAAACAAAAAACCGGGACATAATGAAACGTATAAAAGTATTGCCTCAATAAAAATAAAAGAATATTCAAAAGGTTCTCATCCTTGTTGCTCTATATCTTACTCTACCACCTTCGTCAGCTTCCCCAACGTACCTCCCTGCCTCCTGCTTTCTCCATATTATGGAAAAGGAGATCGGGCGGGTGATAATGACTTGAGGGTCCTCAAATCCAGTGGGCTTTTTTTCCATCTGCATCAACTTTGATTCCTCTGCCTTATTTGAGGTTTTCTCTTTCTTCCCCTCAAAACGCTTTCCTTTGGTTTCTTGATATTGAGATCCTTATAATTAAGTTCCTCCAACGAGAGGTGCAAAACTGAGAGAGACATAGCCTTTTCTGTTCCTTTAACTTTTTATCTCAATGACAAACTTTGGTTAGAATGAGGACTTAAGGGACTAAAGAAAGAAAATGGTCTTTTTGACTGGGCAAGGCTAGATTTGAAATGGGGTCATCATTATTACTGGCCGTGGGTCTTGAGCAGGTGGCTTTATTTCGATGAGCCCAGGGCAGTGGAGATACCAACCTTAACAGATTATGATGACTGTTAGAGATGATACAGACTGACGCACATGATACGGACTGTGGCAGATGGCCACAGGCACTGACCCCCTCCCTCCCCTTCAGAAAAATCCCCTTCAGTCTCCTGCGTAAAAGCCCAGAATGAAAGGTTTGAGGTTTCTGCCAGAATCATTTACCATCCGTTCCTTTTTTTCAGAACCTCCTGTCTTAAAACTTTTTTTTAAACAACTGATTCCAGCTTAGCTTTATGTGTATGTATATGTATGTATGCATACATGTGTGTGTGATTTGAGAGTTTTCTATCTTATACATATTTCTTTTGGGGAATTCATATTTATGGGAGTTTTTTGGTCTGAAAAGGCCTTTTAAATAAAATCTGGGTTATATTTCTCACATATGTGTGATTTTTTGTTCCAATAAGACTTTATCTATGAACACTGTAATTTGAATTTCACATAATTATTCCTCCTTTAGATTTTTTTGGGTACTGGAAGAGCATAAGCTGTTTTTTAATATTAATTTTTAATTAATATTTTTAATGAATAGAATTTATATTTATGATTTACTTATAAATTTGTATTCATTTATATTTTATTTTAGAACAGGTAGTACAGAGAATTCACAGATGCAGTTTCTTCCATTACTGACATCTTACCTTAGTATGGTATGCTTGTTATAACTAATGGACCAATATCAAATAACTAAAGTCCATAGTTTATTCAGATGTCCTTAGTTTTTACCTAATATCTTTTCTTTGCTCTAGGATCCCATCCAGGATACCAATGTACTTTTAAAAATTTTTATATTTACGTCTTTATCTATTTCTTTTTTCTTTCTTGATAGGTATACAATATGTTTCAGCACCAAAGTCTTGGAATTAAAGTTAACATTCAAGTTACCAAGCTGGTCCTGCTACGACAACGTCCTGTAAGTCCTCATCGGCACCCTTCAGAGCACATAGAGGACGTATCTGGTCTTAGCTTCCTAGTTGCTGTTGAGTGCTGAGGAGGTGTCCAGGTGGTTGTCTGTCTTATCTGTGCTCCCTGGCTTTGCAGATGGCAACAGTGTGCCCTGGGCCAGGTGCCAGATGTTGGGGGAGAGGAAGGAAGGTACCATTACTGAAAGTTTGGTATGCATATAATCTGCTCAGAATCTCAAGGGAACCCTGAGCAATGGGCCCATGTGTATCCCTCCTTCAGTACTGGCATGTCTCACGTATGTGCAAAGACTTGATGGTAAGATCTTCGGACCCATGGCTACCCTTCTGGAGCTATACCTGAGCTTCAGGCCAGATTTGGATTCACTGTAGCATCATTTTCTGGTCTTTTGATTGAGTGCATTCCCACAAGACAATGTTACCTGCAGAGTCAAGCAGTGAATGTGAGAATGAGGGACCGATGCTTGGTTGGGTACACTGTTCAGTTGCCAGAAAGAAGAATGCTTTTCTTTAATAACGTAGTCTTCATTTGAACTTACAAATAAGGTCCCTGATGGCCTTTCTCTGAGTCTCTGCATCCATCTACCAGCACTAAGTTTGTGTTGCGGGGAAGCACATCAGTGAATGATATCCCTTTGAGCAGCTGTCTCCACCTTAGGGTCCACATTGTAGTCTGAACATAAGCTCTGGCTTCCCTGGGTGTTTGCTTCTTTAACTGCGCCCTGATTTCTTTTAGGCCAAGTTGTCCATTGGGCATCATGGCGAGCGGTCCCTGGAGAGCTTCTGTCACTGGCAGAATGAGGAATATGGAGGTGCCCGGTACCTCGGCAACAATCAGGTTCCAGGAGGGAAGGACGATACGCCCCCGGTGGATGCCGCTGTATTTGTGACCAGGTAAAGCAGGGTTTGGCCTGTAGCTGAAAACGTGAGAGGGAAAAGACATTTCCCATTGGAGAAGAGAGAGGGCAATTTGCTAGGAATTCAGGCTTGGAAGTCAGACCTTGGGTCGCCTGTCTGAGCCTTGGTTTCCTCATCAGTAAAATGGGGATAAATGATAGTACCTACCTCCGAGGTGTGAGGATTAAATGAGCATGAGAAGCACTTTTCATAGTGCCTGGCCCAAAGGACACAATAAGTATTAGCCATTATTGTTGTTATTGTTAATATAAAAGTACTGCAATCCTGGTTACCCAAGAGTCTTCAAACTTCCAGGAAAATTCATGTACTACTTCTCCCCTGCAAATAGAATGCTCACTGGGAAAGAGCTAGCCTGTGTTTGAGGCTGCTTCCAGACTGGCAAAAGCACACTCCTGAGGGAGAGTAGATATCCCAGGTTTTCTATGAGAGGAAGTCTACACAAGGCACGTCGTGTGTGACGTGCACAGCCCCATCCCTAGGGCACTCTGGGACGACAGCACTGGGCAGAGATGCCCGTGGAATTCACATGGAGGCTCTATTTGAAGCACGGAGCTAAGCTTCTTTCTAGACTACAGCTGGATTTCCTCTTCCAGCTTGAGAGGGGAACCAGGGGCCCAGCCCTGGACAATAGAAACCAAAGGCAGTCTTCCATCAGGCAGCAGCAATGTTATTTTAGTCTTCTAGGGCTGCAGTAACAAATTACCACGAACTAAGTGGCTTAAAACGACAGAAATTTGTTCTCTCACAGGTTTGGAGGCCGAAAGTCTGAAATCAAGGTGTGGGCAGGGCTATGCTCTCTCTGAAAGCTTGAGGGGAGGGTGCTTCCTTCCTCCTCCCTAACTTCTGGTGGTTCCCTGAAAATTCTCCGCATCCCTTGTCTTGTAGATGCATCGCTCTGATCTCTCCTCCATTGTCACATATTATTCTCCCTGTGTCCAAATTGGGGCCCAGCTTAATCCAGTGTGACCTCATCTTAACTTGATTGCATCTGCAGTGACCCTCTTCCTAAATAAGATCACATTCACAGGTACAGGGCTTAGGACTTGGACTTTTTTTGGGGGGGACACAATTCAATCCACAACACATATAGATGTGACAATTTCATTTTTTCCCTGTGTCCCACACCTCTCTGAGAAATGCTGATTTTCTTTGGTTGCTTTGCTTCAGTAATATAAATAGAATGTGTTATGTGTTCATACGAAAATCCCCCATTAGAAAACATGCAGAAATGTTTCATGATAATTGAATCCATTAGATTAAAATACCAAAATTTTATTAGAGTGGCTGTGAATATATCAACTTGGAATTTTAAGGAATTTTTTTTTTTTAATTTAGGGAAACTACTTGCCAAGTTACATGCTTTCTTTTTCTCCGAGTTCAGAGGTGAAGTCGTGAAAGGGGACAGTTTACCTTGTCGTTAGCTTGGAGACAGCCTGCCCTTCTAAGAAGAGTTAAGACTGGTTTTGAGCCCAGAAAGCCTCCTTGATTGCATCTCTTGGGCTGCATACTACAAGCTCCTGGCCCACTGACATCCCAAAGGTAGCTTGCGAAGTTCTGTGACCTCAGCCTCAGGCATCAGGCAATGCAACTCCCTAGCCTGCCCCTCTTGAAAAACCCAGAACACGCACATTGCCACCGCCAAATACCAAACAGATGCCTCATCACTCCTGTCGATGATTCATCAGTTGCCATCCCCAAAGGGTTAAAGTGTGCTCTGTAGCGCACTGATCCCTGATGAGAACATCTACTGCTTCTACAGGATGTGATATGTATAATGGGACTTTTGAGAAGAGGTCTATTCAGTAATTCTGATTGCCTACAATACAGCTGGTGCACCACCAGGCACCAAGGACAAGAGACGAGCATGACCTGGTTCTTGCTTTGGATCTGGGTTTGCCCATCTCAGTGAGTGCTGGGAACCTCCAGGTACCACCTCCCCCAGCAGCTTTGGCCCCCACACTCCCTGGCCAGAGGCCGCCATGGCTCAAGTCGCTTTGAAATGGCTTTTGGAACCTCTGGGTCTTTCTGTAAAACACACTGAGGACTGTGGTAGATTTGATTTGGGGAGCAGGCAGGAGTCCTTGGGAACCGTGTCTATGTGTGACTATAAATTAATGTGACTCGTTTTCCAAATGATAATTAGATAAAGTCTAAAGACTTTTACTAGAGAGGAGCTCTAAATAATATCATCTTTGGAATATGCAGCTAAACTTCTAAGGTCACTACTTTGAAAGTGCTTTGTATAAATACTATATAAAATATATAAATTCTGGTGTTTTGTTAAAAATAATAAGTTATTTCCTTCCTTGTCTGGGTGGAGAAAGCACTTTTTAAAGTGGTTTTGGTAAGGGAACGAATAGCCTTTTTTTCCAGAGGCAATAAATGTTACTGAAATTCATGTTGACAAAACTTCTGGATTAGCCCTTTTACAAAATGCCTTCGGCAGACATGAGTGACCCTCAGCCTGAGAATGCTGCCCATTAGGGTTTCTTTTCTTTTTCCTTTTCCTGCCTCCTAACAGCTTATTTACTACACTGCATAAAATGCATAAAAATATTCTTTTTTACATCTCACACCTATTAGGATGGCTACTATAAAAACAAAAAGCAGAAAATAACAAGTGTTGGCGAGGATGTGGAGACATTGGAACCCTTGTTCACTGTTGGTGGGAATGTAAAATGGTGCAGCTGCTGTGGAAAACAGTATGGCAGTTCCTCAAAAAATTAAAAATAAAACTACCGTATGATCCAATTAATCCACTTCTGGATCTATACCCAAAAGAAGTGACAACAGAGTTTTGAAAAGATATTTTGTACACCTATCTTCATAGAAGCATTACTCATGATAGCTAGAAGGTGGAGGAAACTCAAGTGTCCATCGATGGAAGAATGGATAAACAAAATGTGGTGTCTAGATACAGTGGAATATTGTTCAGCCTTAAAAAGGAAGGAAATTCTGACACACTAAAACATGGATGAACCTTGGGGACATTATGCTGAATGAAATAAGCCAGTCACAAAACGACAAATCCTGTATGATTCTACTCATATGAGGTACCTAGAGTGTTCAAATTCATAGAAAGTAGAATGGTGGTTGCCAGGAGCTGAGGGGGGAAGGGAGTGGGCTGTTGTTTAATGGATATGGAGTTTCAGTTTTGCACAATGAGAAGAGTTCTGGAGATTGGGTGTACAGCAACGTGAATGTACTCAACACTGCTGAACCGTACACTGAAAAATGGTTAAGATGGTAGATTTTATGTGTATTTTACCACAATAAAAAATTTTAAGTGTTCTTTTTTAACTAAGCACATGGGGGGTGGTGCCTGATTGCAGGAGGGTGGTTCTGAGTGCAGGTGCTGGGGAGGGGATGTCTGGCGGCCTGGAAAAGCAAGATTTCTTCAGCTGCAGCCAGAGCTGATGCAAAGGCCTCCTGGATTGGACTGTACCTGCGGCCAGCCCAGGAGCCTGTGTTTTCTTTCTCCATTTCATGTTGACAGCTCATGAGCTACCTGAGCAATCATGATTCCTCTCACCTGCTGCTGTGGAGCTGCTGTGCTGAACAAATCGGTGGCCATCCCATCCTCTGGGTTCTCACAGATGTTAAATTGAAAACCTCCCACAAGGACAGGGAGGCAGCGTTGGAGTCAGGACTGGAAGCTGAGTTGGCCAAGAAGCATTGTTTAATAATTAGAGGTGGAGAGCTGCAATTCCCTAGGTTGGGTTAATAATGGGCTGATGTTTTTGCACGGAAATTGGGTGTGAGACAGCTGCTGCTCTCGAGAAGCAGTCCTTTCCTCCCAGAGTAATCTGAGCTGAGGGTCTAATCGGAGGCTGCACAGACCAGGCAGTGTTTAGGGGCCTGTGTCCCTGGGTCCTGGGACCGGGACTGGCTGCTGCAAGGGTCTGTTCTCTTTTCTTTTTTTTTCCTTTGTGGGCTGCGGCTGAGCCTGAAAGTGTATTCTCCTGGACACCCACCAACCCTACAGATGGCCAGCTGTGGAGACGTGAGCATGACATCATGGTCCAGCAGAGGCTGCTGAGCCAGAAGCGGCAGAAGCTGGATTTCCAGCAGCTGTAGCTGTGTCTGGGGCTAAAAAGGACCTTTGAGTAGACTGAGTCTGGGGGCCACATAGGGCCCATACAGAGGACTGGTCTCCAGGCATTGTCAACACCTGGCAAAGCTTTATTGGCTCTGCATCTCCCCCAAAAGCCAGGAAAGGGGGATGCCCCCCCACACCCAGGTCTGCGCTCCCAGGAAACACCGGAACAAACATGCAGGACTGGCCAGGAGCTTGACTATGGGGATGCCTCCAGCTGTCCCTCAACCTTCCCCTCCCATGTAACTCCATCCAGCTCCCTAGGAACTGCTTTCCCTTGGACCTTCTGACCAAGGGGGCCTCTTGCAGGCCTTGCTCATAGTGAGAGCTCAGTGAGTATCTGAGGACCATAAAGTTCGTTTTTCCAGATCTACAAACACTGGGGAGAGTCACAACCACCAGTAAGCTTGCAGGGCACATTGAAAGTGGTCTGGAAATATATGTCAGTCGTTTAATAAAGGAGCCAGAATTTATTATACCCCAGCTGTAGGTCATGCACAGTACTAGCAAAGTTAGCTTGTGGGGCCCAGTGGAGAGTGAAAATGTGGGACTCCCATGTTCAAAAACTTAAGAATTTTAAGACAGTGATAGCACAGCATTAAGCCAGGTTGGGTGGTGGGGGGCTCCTAAGTGAGGAGCATGTGCGACTGCGCGGGTCAAACACCCACGAAGGCCACCCTGTTACAGAGATCTGCATAGTCTTCCTTCTCTTGAGGAACGAACAGTGGAACCTGAATGTACTTAGAGACTGGGGAGCTACCTCTGGACCCTGTTTTTGTTTTTTGCTTGTTTGTTTGTTTCATTCTCTAAACCAGCCCTGCAGCCCCTACGTATGGGTTTGGCGTGAGTTTGCAGTGGGAGCTGTATTACCTGGAGATGAAGCTGCTCCTGCAGGCAGATAGCTTACTTTTCCTTTTCTGAGAAAGGACCTTGAACAGGAAGAAGAGAGAAGACTTAAATTTTGGCTGACCTTTTTAAGCCGGGCCTCCCATTGAACTTGGCCCTCCGTGAGCTGACCATACCTCCTCCTTTTTCCTCAGGAGAAGCAGCATGTGGCACCACAGGGTCCATCATTTGAGCCCACCTGTGTCCCTTCAGAGAGGCCATGGATGGGGGAACGCACAGCGCCCATCAGCCAACAGGGCTGTGCTGGCTTTCTCCAGGATGGCGGCCACTTCCGCCTGCTGAGTGGCACCATCTTCTCTTCTGTGGGGCTTCTGGCCGTGCGTGCTTTCTGCCTTTGCCCAGGCGAGGCAAAGGGATGAAGCTTTCAATATATTCAGATGCTCACACTGGAAAACCCTGGACCAAGGTCATGGGCCAGCCCTCTCTTTGTGTCAGTGTGTGTGTGTGTGTGTCTCGCCCAAAACATTCAAATGGGAAGAGTGTCAGATCAAGAATGTTGGACTGGGATTAGATACATAGCAGACTAGTGAGCATATTTATGTCCCTGATTTTCTTTGTTTGGTTTCGTCTCTGTCAGTGCTGCTTCCTTCCTGTTAATTAGTCTTCGAAAAGGTCATCTTTGACAGAAAAATCAATTCCTGAGGCTTCCTTTTTCAGCTTCTCATCATTGTCCCTAGTGTGAGAGGCAGGTCAGACCCTTCCCTGAGAACAGATTTTGACAGAGGGAAGGGGAGGGAGGTGTGGCCCATGTAGCACCTGCCACATAGTTTCACAACTTTGCTTAGTGCCAACCTCATCTAACTGGCCTCATCTGTCCTGGAAGATTTTTTTTTTAAATTAGAGGAGGTAGCTTCAGAATATGCCTTTTCAACCTGAAGCTGCACTTGAATGTGTTCAGAGAGCTGCAGGTGAGTGGGTGCTTTCTGCCGGCCCCCTGAGGGTTCTATGAGACGATGAGCTTGGGGCCCTCGGAGGAGCTGCCTCATCTGGGCCAGGCCACTACTCTCCTTACCCTGTGCCAGGAAGGGCACTGCCCCAGCTGGCACTCTGGTCATCTCCTGACTGTAGGAACTTATGGAAGGAGGCATAGGAATGCTCTGGCTTTGGAAAATAAGGGTCCAGACTCCTTGTTTTACACGTAAGAGGCCAGAGGGAGACCTGTGTACCCACAGAACTGGGACTGGACCGGGTATTAAGCATCTCTGCTGTCTCGTTTATCCATAACCACACACCTGGGGGTCCTGGGGAGCTTTAAAGAGTCTAACTTGTAGAGATAACTTTTCTTTGTCTTCTTGTATAAGTGATACATAGTTGTTCTAGTATCTAAAACCAGTTGCTGCCCGAGATGCTTGGGGAAGTCAGTATGGTTTGATGATTTTGACTAGTAATTGTTTTTGATAAATGACTTGGCAAACGTTTTCCAAAACTTTTCCCGCTGTTGGAAGGAATCCTTCCAGCAACTGAGTGTTATGTATGGAATAGTTTATCTGTGAAAGGAGGGTCTTGTATGGAGCAACTCGGCCTACCCATTGGAAATGTGGTGGATGGGTTACTGTTGGCACACGCTGCTAGTGGTTATTTTTCACTATGACCTATGACCATTACAGCAGTAACATTGCTGTGGGCAGGACGACTAATCAAGATTAATTGACAGTGTTTCCTTCTCCTATTCTTGGGGGTACTGCATATCCCTGATTATGTCTTTTTTTTTTTTTAGGACAGATTTCTGCGTACACAAAGATGAACCCTGCGATACCGTTGGTAAGCTTAGAGTTAGAATAATAATCTAAGGGACTGATATATCTTCTGATAATCTGGAGACTTCTTGATAACACTTCCAGTCTGAAGGAGCTGTCCAGCTCTACAAGCTCTACATTTTCTGTTGCCTCTTTTTTTTGTAAATTGAGTCTTTGAGTTTATTTTACTTCTTTTTCCCTGAAAAATTTTCAACTTTTTAATGTAAGAAGACATATCTGACAATGGGTTAATAAGGAAGATATGAAAAGTTAAACCAGTGGAGGAGCCACCAGGCTGCCCCAAAGTTACTATGGTTGGGGGCACATGTGGCTCTGAGCCTCTTGGTCACCAATGGAGGAGGCGGAGCATTCTGAGTTACACGATTGTCGTGAGACAGAAGCTCACTGGTTTATTTTTGTGCATGTGGATGATCTTTACCAAGTGTCCTGAGAAGTGAAGTATGATTGTGTGTAAGACTATCTCTTCCACCAGCCTTGGCACCAGGTTCGTCGCTTTCTGGTCCTCCAGACAGTGGTGATGCCAACATGCAGTGCTGGAAAACACAGTTTCCTTCCTCTCCTTACCCCGCTCCTGTACCTTCTCCTTCTCCCCACCTTGCCCTTCACTTGCCATTTTCCTCTCTCTCCTATCCTCACTTATATCTGGCTTGCTCTTGACTTCTCATATGTTTCAAATTGGAACCCCTCTTTGAGTGTAGGAATAGGGTGCTTGGTTAACAGAGGAAACACCAAGAGGGTTTCCAGTTTTGTTTGCTATAGAACAAACCTTTATTCACCAGAAGGTTGAAATATTGCGTTGCCAAGAGCAAAATTCTAAATTAAATGTGCTTAGAATTATAGGTAAATTGAAGCAAAATAGTATAGGATTGAAAAATACGTATATTGTGGAATTCAAATGTTAAAATCCTGTGCTTCCATGGAGTCCTAGCAGTGGGTAATCCTGAGCCTTTGCTCTGGCTCCTCCCCTTACTAGTTGGGCAACCTTGGGTAAATCTTCATAATCCATAAAATGGTCATTTTGAACTAGGAGAATTATAAGGCACTTCAAAATCTAGTATAATGATAGCTAGCATTTCTGTCACATTTTAGAGTTTACAAAGTGATTTTTTATTTATTATATTTCATCAATCCTATAAACAAATCTGAGAGCTAGATATCAAAAACCAACCAACCCATCAACCAATCTGTGCTTCATTATTTGGGGGCTGTCTCCACAATGGAATAACTGGACAAATGCAGTGTGAAATAGGCTTCCATGGAGGGATAGCTGACACACATCTCAGCCTGGTTGGGGCTGGAGAGGACTAGTACGTATTGGTCTCTGTCTATTGACAGAGCTGCCAAGGCATGTGCTATCCCAAAGGCTCACTGCTCTTTTGCAGTGTTCACAAAGTTGGCTTTGATGGCCACCGTACTTTTTCTTGGGAGGAGCCTCTGCTCTATGCTCCTCCTGTGCCCTCCGCTTGCCGCTGGGGAGGCACTGACCCGTCACATTGCCCTTGCCTTCATGTCTTTCCTGAAAGACTGCACTACACAGAGGACAGCTCTGGCTTTAACCTGTGTATCCTAGCCTTCAGCACCTGGCCCAGGGCTTGAGAGGCTCAGTCACCACTGTTGGTTGGTTGAATGAAGGAATGAAGAATGAATGCAGGTGAAGGAACTCTAGAGTTTCTGAACAATATGCATCTCACCACATGAGGTTTTTTTCATATGATTTAAAGCTGACTTTTTTCTTTTGAATAAATAACTTTCATATCTTCCATTAGTTGTGATTATGTACTGTATTTCAAGCCCTCTGTTCAAGAGCAGGCAGCTAGTTCTATCTTCTTTCCCTCTCTGAACCACATCTTAACTTATATTAGTCTGCTAGGGCTACCATAACAATACCACAGACTGATGGCTTAGACAATAGACATTTATTTCCTCACCGTTCAGGAGGCTGGAATTCCAAGATCAAGATGTCGGTAGGATTGATTTCTCCCTAGGCCCCTCTCTTTTGGCTTGCAGATGTCTGTCTTCTCCCTGTGTCTTCACGTGGTCTTCCCTCTGTGTTAATCTCTTCTTATAAGTACATTGGTCATATTGGATTAGGCTGCACTCTTATGACCTCAGTTACCCTTAATTAGCTTTTTAAAGGCCCTGTCTCCAAATACACTCACACGAGGGGCTAGGGCTTCACCTTATGAATCGGGGTTGGGCTGGGGTGGGGGGGGTGCACAATTCAATACATAACATTACTCATTTGACACTTAGCCACATATTCTTGGGGACATCTTATGTCCTCGTGTGGCCTCCTGGGTGGATATGTCTCATTTTCTAAACTTGAAAGTCTTTAGATGCCATGGACCAGGTGTACTGATTCTTTTTGTCATAGTGGTTCGCTCAGGGCTGAATTAGCCCCGGCTCCTGCTTCCCTATTGCATGCTCTTTCCAATACCTCTGTGATTTTCAGCATTTACAAAGAAACTGAATCCCCTCCTTAAAAACAACAAAAACAAAAGGCAGAAAACCTATGTGGTGTTTTATTAGTACACATTTGTTTTAATATGTCATAATTTACTTGTACATATTATCAAGTCAGTCCCTAAGAACAATGGATGATTTGATGAACATAAAATTTCGAAAGTTGGGGGTATAGCAGTCTTATAGCAGTCTCAACATCCAGTTTACTTCCGTATTTTTCTTACTTTTTATTTTGAAATTATTATAGAATCTCTGAAAGTTGCCAAAATAGTACAGAGAAGTCTCTTGTACCTATCACCCAGCTTCCTCCAATGGTACCATCTTATGTAACTATAGTGTATTTCGAATACTGGGAAATTGATTGGCAGAATGCAATGAACTAGACTACAGATCTTACTCAGGTTTCACTGGTTTTTGCATGAACTCATTTTTGTGTGTTTTCACCTATAGTTCAGTGACATTTTATCACGTGCATAGATTCATCCAACCACCATGACAGTCAAGAGCAAAACTGGTCCCTCACCTTCAGGCCACTCCCTCTGGCTGCCCTTGTAGAGTCTCCCCCTCACTCCCTTTCCCGGGCCCCTTGCAACCACTTATCTGTATTCCGTCTCTATAGTTTTGTCATTCTAGCATCCAGTTTATTTTTGTACTTTGTTTTGATTCCATAGAATGGAAAAATAATCTGAATCAAACAGATATGTGGTTGTCAATGCTAAGAGATTTTGAACAGCTGCCTTCAAATCTCAGGATCCAGCTCTAGCAAGAGGGGCCGTGTCCTGAGTTCTGCAGAAAATGAGATAATCTGGTACCTTGAAATAACTAGGAAAGCTTGGGGGCTGCCAGTGTTTCAGAATTTAGTATATAATAGTGTTTTTTATTTGTTTTCTTGTTTTAATTAGGGCATAACTTCCACAGAGTAAAGAGTGTGGTTTTTTAACATAGAAGTTACTGTCTTAACCAGTTTTTAATTTTTATTTATTTATTTATTTATTTGGCTGAGGAAGATTAACCCCAAGCTAACATCTGTTGCCAATCTTGCTCTCTTTTTGCTTGAGGAAGATTAGCCCTGAGCTAACATCTGTGCCAGTCTTCCTCCATTTTATGTGTGGGTCGCCACCACTGCATGGCTGACCAGTGGTGCAGGTCTGCACCTGGGATCCAAATCCATGAACCTGTGCGTGAGCAGAACATACCGAACTTAACCAGTACATCACGGGGCTGGCCCCCCATCTTAACCATTTTTAAGTGAACAGCTCAGTGACGTTAAGTACTCCCATGTTGTTGTGCAATCGTAGTAGTGGAACCGCTACTCAGATTAAGATATGGAATGTTTTCAGCCCTCTCTAAGGTTCCTTCGTGCTGCCTCCCTGTCAATACATCACCAAAGGTAACCCACTGTTGTAAATGTTTTAATTACTATTTTAAAAATAGTTTAAAATAGATTGCAGGGTTAAATTTGAACAACTTATTTGAAGAACCTCTGAGGTACTGGGTGGAGTTCGGGCTTCTGTGAAAAATACTTTTCCTGTACCCTGCCCGGTCTGCCTTAGCCCATCTCGTCAGATGGATGCCTGATTGTGAGGAACAAGCAAAAAGGGCATTTTTCAGATGCAGGGCTGCCACGAGGTTGGAGGACCTGGTTGGAACACAGGCAGCACCCCAGGTGGCTCCAGATGGTGAGGCTACATACACCACGCAGAGGTCAGTGACAAGACCTCTTCCCTCTCAGCCAGCTACCTGTCACCAGCTCCTGGTTCTGAGTCCTGCCCTCAGTCATGTGGCCTGCCCACCTACCCCCACTGCAAGGGGGTGAGGGAGGCTCTGGTCCTGTGGGCTTCCATAGGGGAGGCAACAGTACTTCCCACAGGAACGTCTGTGGGGGGTCTCCAAAGGGGTTGGTGTGCTTTAGCCAGGGAGGAGGGATGCTGGACAGTCCTGAATGACCAATGTCCACTACACCCTTGACCTTTCAGTAAAGATTGAGGCACAAGAAGCCAACATGTTCTCAGGTTTACCATGTCTTCACATTATAAGGGGTCCTGCTGACATAGGCAAGGGGGAGCTTCCCTGGCCTTCATTCTAAGGTGGTCCTGAACCCTGAGGGGGAGCAGCCTCACCAAGCTCCTCCACACTGGGTGGGGCTTGATGGCACAGGTAATGAACTCACTTTTTAAAAAATCACACCTGAGGGACCCTCCCTTGAGCCTCTGCTGGGCCACTATGGAAGGAGAAAGGATGGCACCACAGGGGTTCTGCTGATCCCCACCTTGGAGGAGGACACAGGAGAAAAGGCGACTCTTAAGGCAGAAGAATCTGGCAAAATAGGCTTCATCCCTCACAGAAGCGTCTGCCCCCTCACCGAGTGGTCCCCACTTTGCACATTTCACACCCTGCCTTTGTGAGGTGTAGGCTTTGTCTCTGTTGAATTGCTTCATCCTGTGTGATTTGCTCTCCTGCCACTGTGCTGATGGAGAAGCTGTCATAGGCGAGGAGCAGGTGAAAGAGGTGAGACCCTTGGAAGCCTTTGCTGGCCCTTTG